AGCATTGTTCACACAGGACCGATCACCAAATATGGGGGGGGGGGGGCGCTCATGAATTGCATGCCTAAAATAGTCGTTAGACAACTGACCACAGGGAGAGGTGGGGGATACTCGTGTAAACGCGTGCCTTAGTGGTTGGATGGTGTACTAAAAGCCGTGGATGCCGAAGTCGTTAGACCATAGACCTCGCATCTTTACAATGCCGGGGGGCGAGCGATATGCCAGGTTTTCGCCGGCCCAGGCTCTCACGTCGCCAAGGACGATGTGTGTGTGTGTAATATTGTGAAACGGGTGATGTGTATCTGGGCCGTCAAAGTATTACTATCCGACACGAACAAATAATTATTTTTATTCAATCAGCAGGGGCCGTGTGACTTCTTCATTGATCCCTTGCTGATTCGCACCCCGGGGTACCGACCAGGGGGTAGGGGATGTCCGCCACGTCTCGGGTGTATTGTGATCTTACCTTTCGGTGTGCTGTGTCGTCTTCTTTGCTGTCAAGAAAATACGCATACAGTCACAGAAAGACTAATCGTTCGAGATTGAACCACAGCAGCAGTCGAAAGACCAATCGTTCGAGAAATAACCCACAGCAGTCGAAGGGCGATGTGCTGTCTGTTGTGTCTCGGGGGCGTTTTTGTTGTTATCCTACCTTTCTGTGCTGTGTCGTCTCCTTTGGCGGAGTCGCTCACGACGGTGATAACGCTACCGGGAACCGCGATTGCCTTGACACTAGTAGCAGTAGTAGCCTTGGGCTCCTCCTTGTCATCGTTACCGCTGTGCGAGACAACACACGACGGCAATAACATAACCAACGACAATGGCAACAACAAAGAGGTAATAGGGAAGGACATCGATTGCGGGAAAAAAACACGGCGGTAACAACATGACCAACGACGATAGCCAAGAGGTAAGGGGGAAGGGCATCGACGAGAGATCGACACACAGCCAGTAGGGCACGACAGCAGGAAGTTCGTGGGAGCAGGTGCCTAACGATTGCACAGGCAGTGTAGGTTGCGACGAAATGGAGGGTCGTGAGAGCAGTTATCCAGCAGTTATCCAGCATAAGGGTGTTATGAGAGGAAAGACATATGGACGAACGGAAAGACCTGAGAGTAGGTGCAGTATACAACAGAAGATAACACACACCCTGGATCGACTTTGAAAGCTCGATTACGACGCCACGACGAAGAGGATGCAAAAACGAAACAATACATCTTCGGAGAGCTCGCGACGAGACGGTTTCAACGCCGCCGTTTTCGGCGCTGTGACTCTCTTTCTGCTGTTGAGAAATCGAGCTTTGAAAATCGGTCCAGGGGGTGTGTTATATTGTACCATCGTATACGGTACCCAACGAAAATACAGCCAGCAGGGCACCATGAAAGGAAGATCGTGAGAGCAGGCACCAAACCACGACCAGACACACGAGAATCTGACAAAACACTCTACAACCCGCCACATTGTGTTGAGACACCTGGTTGATCGTAAGGATCACACGGGAAGTAGGGACCGTGTGCTGAGATCCCCAACAACCATATATCTCTTGCATGCTAAAACTCGAAAAAACATCATCAGAGCCAAGCCATACACCGCCGTTTGCGCGGTGCGACGCCAGCCTCACACAAAGAAAGACGACGCTTCCTATACTTCGTAGATTAAGACTGGGCGTAGTCTTGACTCTCAAAATGTGCTTCAGAGGTTTACGCACAACTGACAGGATGTCAAAAAGCCGGAGCGAGGTTTACACGGAGTGTGCTCTCTGCCGACCACACAACCTACACACACACACGGCCGGCTGCATCCGACGCGTGTGCTTGTTGTTACCATCTCGACCGCGCTACAAGTAGCCGACCAATCAACGGAACTATGCATTTCATTCACAGCACACGGACAAGACTACCTACGACGCCCGCCGCGCGCGCCGCCACCCACCTCTTCCCGGGAGTCGCCGCCGAATCAACCGCGGTGCCCCGCCCCTCCTTCCCTTGCATACCGCCGTCTCCGCCGCGCCCTGCCGACGGCTTGTCCCGATCCCGCCGACCCCCGCTTCCATCCTCCCGACCCCGGTCTTCCAGACTACCCCGCCGCCCCCTCCGCGAGTAGAAATCACGGGGCCCCCTGTCACGGTCCCGGCTCCTCTCCCGGTCCCTCCGGTACCGGCTGCGGTCCCCCCCCGCCCCCCCCCCGTTTCTGCTGTACGACGACATCGACGACGGCGGCCAGTCTCGGTCTCTACCGTATGCGCCTCCGTGCGATCGGTCCCGGCTCCGGTCCCTCGCCCCCCCGCCGTAGTAGCGCTGCTGTTGCTGCTGCTGTTGCTGGTGCCGGAGCGGCCTGGCTCTGTCCCTAATAAACAGCAACGAACGTTTCGTTTCGATTGATTGGGGGAGGGTACTCATGTTATGCATGCCTTAGCTGTTAGACCATTGACCATGCGTCCTCGAGAGCGGTCAGACCATTGATGGGGGGGGAGGAGTGGTGTACTCATGATTTGTATGTCTTAGCGGTTAGACCATTTGCCTTGCGTCCTGGAGGGGGGGGGGTGGGGGGGTACTCATGTTTTGCATGTCTTAAGCGGTTAGACAACACTTCATCGACAGGACGGAGCATTGTTCCCCCACAACACCAACCACCGACGGCCAAACGTTACTTTGCCAAATTCCAAAGGGGGAGGAGGAAGGGGTATAAAGAATTGGGGGCTACGCACACGCCGCGAGGACAAAAAGAGAAGACGCACGGCGGGCGGACCAAGCGGCCATGAACACGCCGCTTTTTCAATCAACGCCTTGAAACTCTCGAAAACCAACGATAACTCTCTTGGACTTTTCTATCTGTGGATACAGTACAGACGGGTTCGTTGTGTAACAGCAAGAAAAACAAAAACAGTCTACGAAAAGCACGAAACCAACACCACCCAATAACAACACTAGTCTACAGGTTATAATATTAACCTAACCACACCTGCTGTCTCTGCTCCTCGCTCTAGGCCGACTCCGCGCTTCCCGGCTCCATCCCCTACCGCCATCCCTGGATCGGTCCCTAGGTCGGTCCCTAGGTCGGTCCCTGGATCGATCCCTGGACCGATCCCTCGAAACGTCGCTGGAACGGTAACTAGAACGGTCGCTAGAACGGACGCTGGAGCGACCTCGCCCCCTGCTCCCGTCCCTCGAGGAGTCCCTGCTCGGAGACCGCCTTCTGGGTGGGGAGTGGTCCTTGCTTTTGCTCTTATCCTTGTCCTTCTTGCCCTTTGCCTTCGACAGCGGCGGTAGTTTCCGGTGGCGAGAGACAGCCATACATCATGACAAGCGGCCGATGGGTGGAAAACAAGAAAAACAAAAAGGGGTTTCGCTTCTCAAATGTTCTTGTGTACGTAGCACTCGCAAGGCAAACAAATGACACCGTTTTCATCAAGTGGCACCGATTTCGTTTCTCATAATATACGTACGGCAAACAAATGACACTGTTTTCATTAAATGGCACCGATTTCGTTTCGGTATTTTCTCTCCCTTGGGAAGGAACGTATCTATGCATGCTTCCCCTCGATTAATCACTTCATAAAATGCACCCGGTGGTTCAAATACACACGCTTGAAAATTTATCCACAGCAGCAACTATGCAGGGTGTAAGTCGACGCGCAACGGGAAGTACGACGGACGCGATGATGCTGGTTTACACCAGCGCGCTCCGACATGTAGCAAGGCGAGACACAGGCGACGGGGCCATCTTCTGCTCACCCGACGGCCGGAAAGCAACCTCTCCAACCGCACCGCCACCAAAACGGGCGGCGACAAGCACACCGGCGCTTTGAACACCCCGCTTCTCCCACGGCACTCCCTCCACGCCTCCCCATGGTCACCCTCCTCCTCCCTGACCCTTCCCCCTACCTTTCCGTTGTTGTTGTTGTTTTTGTTGTTGTTGTTGTTTATACTGTCGTTGTTGTCTTCACAATAATACCGTTCCGGTCTCCGCTCAGTACCTCTTGCTCCCCTCTGACAAAAGGAAAACCTGACCGCCTACCCTCCCTGTTGATGTTGTTATTGCTGCTGCTATTGTGTTACTGTTGTCTTCACGTAAAAACGTTCCGGTCTCCCCTCAGTACCTCCTTCTCCCTCACAAAAAACGCCTACTTAGCACGGAGCTGGAACCCCAAAAGCCGTCCCACCTTCGAACTGGCACCCTTGTCGCTCTTCTTCGCGTCGTCGCCGCTACCGCCAGCCTTGCCAGCACCCCCACGGGAGGAAGAGGACGTCTTGCCACCGCCGCTAGCTTGCTGCTTCGAGGGTTTCTTCCCCCCCTCCCCCTCTTCTTTCGTAGCCGTCGTAGTCTTGGGTGCGGCAGCGGCAGCGTTCTTGTTCTTTCCCTCGAGCTCTCGAAGGTGTGCGCCCAGCCTGTGGGCGGCGTTTGCGAGGCGCCGCAGCAAGCGGGGGGGGGGGGGGGGGGTG